AAAAAAAAAGGCACCTTTAATTGCAAAGCTATGATGCGAGCCATCACCATCTAATCGCTTCATTGTTTCTGGGGAATCATTCCAGGCAGCCGTCACTTTACTATGATGTCAGCCGGAATAAAATTACACAAAATTCTACTAACGTTAATGAAATTCAGACGATATTTAATTAAGTCAATTTTACTATGAAGTAGGTTTTTTGGATTCAAAAAAAAAAGTTTCGGCCAAATTAGAATTTTAAATATCATCGGCCTAAATTAGGTTAATGCAGGCCAACTACATAATGCGTCACAGCAAAAGTGACAGTTATTCAAGCCGCAGCCGCAATATATAAATTGCACTTTTTGGTAATTTATAATATACTGTGGCTGTGGCTTGTGTAACTGGCATCGCCCTGCAGGGTATCGATTTTGTAGTGCATAAGAAAATTGTTCCGGATCAGCCTGTAAAACTAAAATATGAGAAAAGTGAAATACGAGAACTGATTAAAGTGCCTTAGGATGCTATGATGGAAATGCAATTTTTACGTATATGTAGGCCTTTAACCACAAACTCGACAAAACTAAAAATAAAAACTGCGGTTAAAGCCGACGGCCGATGGAATTTACTAAAATTGATAACATTTATAGTATTGTATAATATTGTATAAAAAGAGTAGATTTACGTTTCAGCCATTATAATTATTAATCAAGTAAATTTTAATGAATTAACTCCTTACGTAATATTGGAAACAAAAATTATTTAAACAATAAACCATTACCTTCTCAAATTAATGGCATTTCAAAATTTCAACAAATTCAATAACGCAGTTTCTGACAAACATATTAACTATTTTGCTCGTGAAGATTTTAGCGAAATTGAGAAAATTACGGAAGGCGGGTTTAGTTCTGTATACAAAGCCAAATGGCAAGACTACGGATTATCAATAGTTATAAAACATTTCAGAATTATTAAGAGCTCAGACGAAAGAATCATCAAAGAGGTAAGAATAGTGTTCTATTATATCTCAGATGGATAATAAATAAGGATTTCTTAAATGAACAACGCTCAAATTGGTCAAAATTGATGAGTTTTTTCAAAAAATATTACCTTTAATTGCTAAGTTATGGTGCGAGTCATCTAATGGCATCCACCTTGTAGGGTGTGTCAGTAGAACATTACGTAATTGGCAACATGTGTTTTATTTGCCACAACGTTAGTTCGTGCCAATCAATTGTGTGGCTGCATGTTCAAAAAACCTTTGCTCTTCGATGAATGTGCAAAATTCATAAAAAAAAAAAAGCGTAACTTCGTAAATCTGAATTATTTTGTAGATTGAGCCTGTAGTAAAATTTTTAGTAATTTTGGATGTCTCTAGATAGCTCGCACCATATTGCTGTGGGATTAGCTAACAAGAGTCACGTAGTCATCAACCTTTTACACAAGTCGAGCAAATGGTCTTACCAGAGTATTGATAAATAGTCACAACACATAGTCATGCGAGAATCTTGTGAATAAATCATTTAGGATCTCTTAAA